CGCCTCCCTCCCAGGCCCCCAGGCTCCCGGTCCAGGTCACCCCGATCTACACCCCCCGGCAGGTAACGTGGGCCCCAGGCGCCCCGGGCCAGCGATGCGCCGGACTCCCCCTCCGCTAGGTCGAGCGACGGGGCCGGAGGGCGCAGCTTTTCCAAAGCCTCTCCAAAGGGAGGTGCATGCTTGGGTGGGGAGGGGGCACAGAGGCACCGACCGGCTGCAAAAACCTTCGCATGGGGCAGAAGGAGGTGGTGAGGGGGTGGGGGCCCTGCTTGGTTTGGGGTGGTGGTGGTGGTGGGGAGGGTCTCACGCCTGCGCTGCTGTGCTTGGAGCGGGCTCGCGAGGGTGGAGGGACCGTTGGGGGGCCCGATGCCACGGGGGAGGGCTGGTGCCAGTGTCCCATCGCTCCCTGCAGAGAGGCGCAGAAGCTTTTGCGTGAACCCTGGGCCAGCCCAGGGCTGGGAGCTCCCCCATGGGAACCCCCCCAGCAGGCTCCCTCCCCCTCCAAGAGCCGGAAGAGAGGACATCAGCAAAATGAAACCAAAGTCCCTTGCAGACTTCGCTGCTCCTCCCACCCGTAACTTTGAAATCCAGAAGGGGAGAGACCTTGGGGAGGCCGGGTTTAGGGAGCACCACAGTGGCAAGGTGGCCGTCAGCAGGGAGGAGGTGAGCAGTGCCGCCCCCCACCCCTGCCCAGAGCAAGGCGGCGGTGGGAGCACAACCCTCCTAGACAGCAGAGAGTCTCCCCAGAGGCACCCGCAGCAAACTGCGCAGCGCCAGCTCCCGGCACCTCCCACCTTGCTGGGGGGCTGTCATCCGTCCCCCCTGGCTGCCAGCCTTGTCATGGGGCAGAGAGTGGCCCAGAGAGATGCATGCAGCAGGGGTTTACTGCAGAGACCCCCTCGCCCCCCCAGCTGACTGTCTCCCCCCCAGCTCCCTTTGTTCCCCAGAGGCACCCGCAGCAAACTGCGCAGCGCCAGCTCCCGGCACCTCCCACCTTGCTGGGGGGCTGTCATCCGTCCCCCCTGGCTGCCAGCCTTGTCATGGGGCAGAGAGTGGCCCAGAGAGATGCATGCAGCAGGGGTTTACTGCAGAGACCCCCTCGCCCCCCCAGCTGACTGTCTCCCCCCCAGCTCCCTTTGTGTGAAGGAATGCAGCTCCAGCTGCACAGCAGTGCTTGGAGCCACCAGGGCGGGACAGTGGGACGCAGGAGGTCACCTCTGCTCGGCAAGCCTCCTGGGCTGCCTGTCCCTCCCCAGGTCTCACACTATAATGGGACTTCTTACCACCTTCCACTTAGGAAGGGACGGACACGGAGCTGCTGCCCACATGGAAACGAGCCACCAGACCGGAACATCCCTTTGTCCCCCTCCATCCTGCCCGCGGGCACCGGAGGAGGAATTCCAGTTTGTTCTCTGTGAGGGCTTCCGCTGCTAAAAGCAGGCAGTAGCAGAAGTGCAAAATAAGCTGTGGGATGTCCGTTATCAAGGATGCTGTGGTGAGCAGCCTTTCTGGCTGTACCCAGCTCTGACTGGGCTGCCAGTGTCTCTTGCTCTGTTCTTGCCTGTGTAGCTCGAGATTAATGACATGACCAAGTCCTGGGGCCTTGAGGTGGACCGGGTGGAGCTGACCATGGAGGCTGTGCTACAGCTGCCCCAGGAGAACCTGGCAGGCCCCCTCGCCACCCTGCCACCAGTGCCAGGGCTGGAGGGACTCGACAGCACCATTCAGCAGCTGGCTGCCCATCTCTTCGGCAACACTCTGGCTCTGACGGGCAGTGCCAACAGTGCTCCAGAGGCAGGTAATCAGCTCCAGTGCCATGCCTTGTCTGTTACATAGGTGCCTGTCCCTCCAGTCCAATGACTTTTGAATCCGCTGGTGCTTTCCCTTGTGTTTTACAGAGGAGTCAAAGTCTCCAGGATATGACAAGCGCAATGCAAATAGGCCAGCAGGGAGAGGAGAGAGAAGTATTTAGGGCACAGCTCAATACAACATTCAGCACAACATAAACTTTATGATAAGACACTGGAGATGCCACTCAGGAGACGAGAAACATATCTGTGGGAACCTGGGCTCCAAGGTTGGATGTGATCCCGTGCAACTTAGATCTCATCGTTTACATCAGGACAAAGTCAGGGAAGGCCCTGCAATTTCTGAGAGAGCTGATACTCACATTTGAAGGCAACATTTGGGCAGGATTTGGCTCAGATGCTGTCTCTTATTGATAACAATACTAAGAAGGAAGCAGTCTGGTTTGGTGGAGAGAGTTTAGCAGTGGTTTAAAAGAGAGGGGATTGGCTGGGGTTGCTGTGATGAGAGGTCTTGCTCAGGTGCTTTGAATCACACTGTGAAGATTAGGCAGGAGACCTAAAGACCCACATATTTGTTCAGGTCCCTTGTTTTTTCTAATAAGAAAAAAATTTAGGCTGCAGCTCTGGGTCTTTGGCTTAGCTAAATATCCTACTTCTTCAGGTATTTTGGCTCCAGGAAGATCAGGGCAAGTAGGAAAATGAAATTTGGTGGGGGTTGGAGGAGCATATGACATGCTGACCCATTTTCCAGAAATCCCGCACCAGTTTGTGCCCCGCAATGTCTTTCAGGGAAAAAGGGGTACCAGGGGAAGAATAATCCACTGCAGACAAAGGAGCAGGCAGTAAGAACTGGCAAAACCATGCTTTCTTCTTCTTGCTTAGCTGGAAAGTTGCTTGTTAAGTGGATGTGCCTGCTCAGGAGACCTTTGCTGTAGAATGGCTTGCGGATCCATGCAGACCAGCTATGTCCAGCTGACCTGCTTCCATCCAAATGCTCCCTCTCTACTTCCCCTGAACCCTACTTCTGTACCCTTGTCCCCAGCAGACAGCGTGGAGACCGTGAATGAGGTGGAATCTCCCACTGCTGCCGTCCCCACCGCCAGCAGCAGGAGAAAACCCAGCGTGGACGAGCTGCTCTCAGCTGTGGAGCTCTTCCTGTCCGAGTCCTTGGTTGGCCAGGTGGGAGCATGTTACCAGGTCAACATCATCCTGCCAAGTGGAGTCCGGAGCACCTATTTCATAGACCTTTCCTCAGGTCACTGCTCTTCTTTCTTCGGAGTTGGCATGTTGAAGGCTGGAGGGTGTTTTTGCTTGTGTCTCCTTTGCATGCTGCATACCCTGCAGAACTCAGTCGTAGAGGGGCTCCCCAAGCAGCGAGACCCAAAATGAATCCTATTTCATAGCTCTGTGAAAGGCATCCTGGAGTTTTTCAGCCAAGTGCTGTAGTTTGTCGACTCAGGCCTTAAGTCCATGCTCTCTGAAAATCCAAACTGTAATTTTCAGTTAGAAAGAGAGCACTAATGGAAACTTGGCAGCCCGGTCTCCTTGTGACTGACCAAGTGAGATTGTTAAGAGACCGTAGGGCTATGCTTGGGTGTGTTGGGTCTTGTCTACAACCAGCCCAAGTGGGTAACGATGAAGGGACACATGTGGATAGCACCTCGGGCATATGCCATGCTGGCAGGAGTCCTCAAAGCACCATATCCCATCCCCCTCACAGAACTTTGTGGGCACCAGTGGTGGTTTTCCTGGTGGCCCTGACAAAACAGGACACGGCTTGGAAGTGAGCTACTGGAGCAGGACATTGGTGGAGCAATGTAGGAGAAATTTGCCTCCATATTCCCCATTCAGTAAGGACTCCTTCCTCCAAAATCACCCTGCCAGGCTCTTATCTGTCACCAGGCCCAATTCAATCCATGTGAAACAGTGGGGGAAAACTCTAACAAGCAAGCTTGCATCCTGAGGCTCACTGTTTCTTCCCCTCCCACCTGTCCACGTCCTATAGGCAGCGGGCAAGTTGGCCGCGGATTGCCAGAGGGCAGCCCTGATGTGGTTCTGGAGATGGCAGAGAAAGACCTGCAGGACCTCTTCCTGGGTGAACTTCGTCCCTTGAGTGCCTATATGAGCGGAAGGCTGCAGGTGAAAGGCGATCTGCACGTTGCTCTGAAGTTGGAGGAGCTCTTCAAGGCAATGAAGCAACGTAGATAGAGCATGCGTGTGAGTGTGTGCCCTTGTGTCCATGTGTGCATGTGTCTTTGTAGATGTGCGAAAGGCACAGCAGGGGTGTAGTCACAAATGGTGGGGAATGCTAGGGTGCTGCAGGGCGAGGGCCTTGCCTTCCTCACTTTGGAGCTCATGCTGTCCCCTCTACAAGGTGGCAGGAGTTGTGTGTGAGCAGGGAAACTGAGGCAACACAAGCCTAGAAAACTCCCTGTCCCTCAGGTTCCTACCCTCTTCGGGGTGAGCTCCATTGCTTGACCATGTCCTTTTCTTTCCCTCCCCTCCCCACTCTTGCCCACAACTTTACTGGGAATAAGTTGGCACTCCAGCCTATGTCCAGAGAATGCAGTTTCCTTCCAGGTCCTTTGGCTACGAGTTGCTCCAGGAGCATAGGGCAACGTCTTGCTGCCTCCCCAGTGGCAAAGGGAAGAGGGGTGGGTCTCCCCTGGGAGATGTGGGGATGGGATCCCCCTGGGGATCTCATGCTGGAAGGGGCAGGAGGTGACTGGATTGAACTGGGAGGAGCCTGGGGACACTGTGATCAAAGCAGCTTGACAGAACAGTAGTCATGGGAGGGGGATGGCACAGGGAGGAGATCATGGGAGGTCAGTGCAGCCGAAGGGGGACAATAAGGCGATTGGGCGAGGCTGGATGGTGTGAGTGGGCCTGGGATCAGGTCTAGCTGATCAGTGGATGCTGGACCCCAGCATTTCCAAGGGAAGGAGCAGCGGCAGCAGGTTAGGGAATGACCTGCTCAGACATGCCTGGGCCTTCCCGACACAGAGGTTTGTAATAAGTGATTGCGCTAATTTGTGCTTGAAAGCGCTTTTGCATGCATGCTGTGAGGTCTGTCCACGGGGTGCGCGTGGATTGTATATAGGCGTATATAGATACTTATTTATTTTGTAAGCTTCCTTTCTATCGACTCTTGGTCTACAATAAACCTGTTCTGCAGCCTTGCCCAGGGCAGAGAAGATCTGATGATTCTATGAGCAGCTGAGGCATGTGGCCAGGACCTGGGTCAGCTGTGCTGCCTTGCCTGCCTTGCTCTATCCCTTGGTGCCTCGGTTTCCCCTTCTGTAGGCCCAGGGGTCCCAGGGTACTGTATAAAGCGCTGAGAGATGTACAGAGGCCACATACTGGCCAAGGCATCAGAGCCGTATTTGCTGTTGCCATTAAAGAACGCAGTGCAGTGTACCAAAGCCCTGGGCTGTGCTGGCTCTGTCCTTGCCGTTCAGTCGCTATTAACACCTGAGGTCCTGCCACATGTTGGAAGAGTTGTCTGGGTGCAGCACAGACTCTTCTGGAGATCTCTAGCACTTTCTGCCTTCCCCATTGAAAGGGAGGAGTCGTGTGCTGCTACGAAGCGTGGGGCAGAGGAACTGGCAGTCCGAGCAGCTGCCCTGGAGATGGGGGTGCCAATCCTTCCCCATGGATTCCTGCAACGCCACCAGCTTCAGGCAAGGGCCTTTGGTTCCTTTGCAGGACCCAGCACCAGAGGTATTAAAAGTACTTCTGAGCTCCAGGCAGTGCTAGGCTGCCCCAAGGATGTTTTTCAAGACCTGCCCAATACAACTGACCCCCTTGTGACAGGCTGCTGCTTCCAGAGAGCCCGACTATCACACCGGACCTGCAAGAGGACATGGGCATGCCATGAGGTGCTATCCCAGGCAGAGCAATAGGAGCAAAGGCATGTGTGGAGGGCAAAGTTATTGGAATGAAGGTGCGTGCGAGGGGCAGGGCTGGGCTTGTTTGCTCAGAGCTTGTGAGTGGCAAACGAGGCTGGGTGGATCCTACCGCCTTACTGGCAGCCAGGGTCCTCTAGGCTGCAGCAGGGCAAGGGAGGCAGCGTTTGGCCCCGGCAGCAAGAATTGAAATGTCTCATGGCTGCATTCAGGCCAAAATCACCTGCTAAGTCTCCTCTTCAAGGACTCAGTGATGTATCACCAAGAGCAAGTTGCCTGGCAAGCAGATTGTGTGGCCTGGTGATCCCTGATGTGCAAAGCAGGACTATGCCAAAGGATTGCTCTGTCCTCTCCTTCCTTCACCCCTTTTCCCTCTAAGAGTTATGCCAGCCCAAGCATCTGGGCTAGACCCTGGGAATTTGAGAAGCAGATGCTTTCCACTCTCTCAAAAGCCCCAAGATGAGGGAGCTACCACTGCATCTGAGATGCTGTGGGCTTTGTGCAGAGCCGTCCCCGTCCCCAGGGACAGGCAGCCTGTGCAGGATGGTGCTGCCTGCAGAGATGGCAGTGCCACCCCAGTCGTGCCTCATCTTCCCCTGGGCTTGACAGTCTGGACAAGGTCTCAAGTGCGGTCCCACTTTCACGGTGGTTCCCTTGCAGCTGCAGGCAGGCCCAGACCGAGTCGTAATTCCCCAGGGCCAATGCAGTGCTGGAAGGGTGCACAGAGCAGAGAAGATCCGGGAGTTAAAGCCAGACACCTGGGACAAATGGGGCAGGAAAATGCTGTTCTGAGGAGGGACAAGCACAGCTGCACACAGGGCAGAGCTCTCTCCTCTGGGATGTGCTGCTGGGAAGAAGCAGAGCCCTCTTTGGCACTGCCGTGTCCCTGCCCATCCCAGCTCCTGTCCTTCAGCCACCCCAAACTGGGACAGGGAAGCCGGGCTCTGCATTCTCAGCCCTGCATTTTTCTCCACGATTTGGCTTTTTGAGAAGTGCTGGGGAGGTTTGTGCCCAGACCTAGCTCCAACCACATCCTATCGGGGCCTTTCCTCCCTCTGGAAAGAGAGGGAGGAAAAGAAACAGAAACCTCCTTTGGTCTCGGGAGGGCAGAGCTGGCTGGAAGCATCGTTCCAGTCCACGGAGCCGTCGCTGCGTCGGGGCTGGGAGTGATCACAAGAGGGCTCTGCGCAGCCGGCAGCCCTGCACGAAGGTGGAGTTACTTCCAGGGCAGAAGAAAACGAAACTCCGAGGCAGAAAAATCTGAAGGGACGTCTTAGCCAGTGAGCAGAGGGCCACCAGAGCTGCCCACGCCTGACGATGGCTGCAAATGCCCCCCCAAGCCAGCAGAGCTCACAGTTTGAGACCCAGGTAAGCTCCTGGACAGACACTATCGAGGTGATGGGATTTTGGGGGGGAGAAGGCAGGTGGGTAAGAGATGGTGGGACTTCCACAGTCTGCAGAGAGCCTTGGGGCAAGAGAGGGTGTCAGCATCGGCCAGGGGGCTGAAGGAGGAGCATGGTGGGGAAAAAGGATGAGAGAAAGGCATGGGCACATTGGGGAAGGAAGTGACTGTAGGCCTGAGCCACAACATGGCTCCTGCCGCATGGTCCGTGCTGCCTTCCCCCCCAACCTGTGCTGGGCAGTGGAGGCGGTGCATGGGGCCCTAGGAAGTCTCCATCCTGGCAGAAAGCCCGCAGGACTCAGCCATTTTCTTCTGTGCCCCCAAGTGTCTCTTACTGACCGATGTGATGGGGATAAAGAGTTTCAGCGCCTGCAGGGCAGCCCGGCACCAGCGCCTGCCCATGCTCTCCCTTGGCCCAGCAGGTGCAAGGCACCGAACCTGTTCCCTGTGGGGAAGGAAGGCTGGTCTTCAGTCCACCTCCAAGCCCTGTGGGGAGGAGGGCACAGGCTGCCAAAGGAGGAAGTACAGATGCCCCAGAGAGATGGAGGGAAGGAGGAAGCCAGAGGAAAGGGCCAAGCGAGACAGAGTGAGTGGGGGAGCAGATGGCAGGATGGATGCGCTCTATTCTCAAACCCGTGAGGTTATCGTCCAGAGGGCATCTCGGACAGTTTCTCTACAGCTGTCTCATCCCCCATCCTCTGCTCTGTTCGTCCTGCAGCCCTGGGAGCAGGAACTGGTGCTGCTGCCCTGCTGCAGCCCTGTCTTCCCCTGCCCCATGGCCCCAGGGCCAGGGGCAAGGTCTGTCTTCTGTGGGGCTGCTAGGTTGGGACCCATCTCCTCCCTTTGCTAGAGGGAGAGCAAGCAGTTAGCAGGGCCCCTGTCCAGCCAAGCCTCCTGCGGTGCATGGGCCAGCTCTGGACTGCTTATGGGGCCTGTGCATCCCTGGCTGGAAATGGTTGCTCACTGGTTGCTCAGCAGGGTCTGAACAGGGCTTGCAGGGGTTACCTCCCTCCGAAATAAGTGTTTCAGGAGCTTTTAAAAACACTTTTTCCTCCCCGGCACTCACAGTCTGTGGCTCTTTCTCCTTCCCTCTTTCTTTCTTTGCTCCCCAAGCTGCTGGAAGATGAATTCCAGTTTGTTCTCTGTGAGGGCTGCAAACAGGAATCACCCAACCTGAAGCTCCTCACCTGCCTCCACACCTTGTGCCTCAGCTGCCTCAGTGAGAACAAGCCCATTGGCCAGTGCCCCGTGTGCCAGACCGCCATCCCACAGGCCAGCGGCATCCCTGACATGGACAACCTGCTGTTTGCCAGCCTGCAGGCCAGGCTGAACGTTTACAAGAAGATCGTTGGCAGAGTTGACTTATTCTGTGACAACTGCAAGACAGAAGGCGAGTTCTGGTGCTCCGAGTGCGAGGAATTCCTGTGCACAAAGTGCTTTGAGGCCCACCAGAGATACCTGAAGAAGGAGAGCCACGAAGCCAAGAGGGTGACGGATATCAGAGCAGGGTCAGCTAAAGACTTTCTTGAGGGTACCAGGAAGGCTAGTAACTTATCCTGCTCCAACATGACTCACAAGAGCCAGACATTAAGGTAAACTTCCTGGCCTGGGATGGTTTCTTTTTGCAGTGCAGCCAAAGGCAGGGGAATATTTGCCATGTGTATTGGGGGAAATCTGAAAGACGAAGAAATGGCTTTGAGCTAGCTCCGTGGTAGGTGTGAGCAGGGTGGCTCTGTCCCTCTGCTGCCCTGATTGTCACCAGCCGGGTCGCCATGTAATGGAGAAGATGGATGGGAAGTAAAGACTAGTGGGCTCCAGAGCAGGAAGGGAGGGTTGGAGGTAGCCATGACCAGACCAGGGTCTGGGTGTGATGCAGAGCTGGATTCAGGCGCTCTCGAGGGAAAGTCCAAAGGAGATTAGGAAGTGGCTGGAGCAGGCCGTGGAGACCAGCACTGACTACTAGCCAGGACAGATCAGACGCAATCTCTGCCTCAGGATGTCCCTAGGCCACCAGTCCTCAGCCCAAGACTAACAGGACATCTGCTGGGGATGGATGAAAATCTCCCTTCCCCGTTCTTATATTCTTGCCTTATATTCTTGGAGATAAGATACTCTTTGATCTTATATTCTTATACATATACCAAATAAATAACTTTAGAATTCACCTCTTTACTGCCCCTGCAGTGCATGGATAAACATCTACAGTAACGGTTTCACAGGCAGAGGTGATGGGTATCGCTCCACAGGAAGGCAAACCAAATTGGTTTCTAAGCTAGGACTTAAGCAATAATCTCATTAAAAATAGACCTGGACATAAGTCATTGCACAGGCCTAGAACAGAAGCAGGAACAAATTCCTCTTTAGGAAACCAAATCATATGGGGAAGATTATGCCCAGGCTCTGCCTGAAACAAGGCTTCACTGTCCAGCCCTCCTCCAAGATTCTCATTTTCTGTTAGAGATATTCCTGTGGCTGCAGGAGAAGAAGGTACCCTACTAGTCAGTGTCAGTGTGCTGCGCTGTAGTAACTGGTCAGGTGAACAGTTTAGCCAATTCAAAAGAGGAGTAGAAGCCCTGTGGAAGTAGCTCAACTGAAAAAGTGCTTTTTTGCAATTGGGACAGGATAAGAGCAAATATCTGGCCCATATTGGTAATAGATTTACTCACATGTAATCATGCTTAAATGAATGAGTTGCAATAAGAGTATGAGAGTGCATGGTCTAAATTACTGCTCTGCCTGTGCTTGGCCTCACAGTATCTACTGCAAAAAGTGCTGCAAGCCTGTCTGCTGTATCTGTGCCCTGCTGGACAGCAAGCATGCAGGCCAGCATTGTGATATCAACACTGAGATCCAGCTAAGGCAGGAGGAGCTGGGTGCCATGAGCCTGGAGCTGAAGCAGAGGAAAAGCGGCTTTGAAGATGCCTACAAGGCTCTGCAGGACGAGGTGGCCCGCCTGGAGCGGGTGAGCAGCGAGACTCGGGAGCAGATCCAGCAGCGCGTGGAGCAGCTGGTGCGGCTGATCCGTCAGGAGGAAGAGGAGCTGCTGGGGCTGGTGGAGACGCGGCGGGAGCAGGGCCGCCAGGAGCTGGCGGGGGAGCTGCGGCGCGTGGAAGGCGTGCTGCGGCGCATGGAGGCCGGCGAGCAGCTGGTGGAGAAGATGAGCCTGTACGCCACGGAGCAGGAGGTGATGGACATGCAGCCCTTCATCAAGGACTCCCTGGAGGAGCTGCGGAGGCTGCAGCCCACGGCAGCTGGGGGCCAAGTGCAGGCCGCGGGGGACTTTGCTGAGTGCAGAGGCAGGCTCCAGGCGCTGGTGGAGCGAGTGATGGGGCGGACAGGTAAGGAGATCCTCAACCAGAGGGGTTGGTAAGGTACTGAGAGCAAAAAGGAAGGTTATAAACCCTGGTTTGTCCGTAATCTCCATGGGTTTCAAGTCTCCTTTCATGTGGCTATTTGTTGGACCTGTAACTCCTGCCTTTGCTCAGGAGCACAGATCGTCTTTCCTTCCCCCAAGGATTAGGAGGCAGTTGCTGTTTTTAGCCACTTCTAAAACACTGGTCAACTCTTGCTCTTGTGGAGGACGTTAGTCCTCCAAATACAATTGTAACGGGAGAGAATGTTGTAAATTGCTCAGGCTCAAACTTTGCAGGGGGCTAAAAAGTAAGAGAGGGAAATGACGTCTGGGATGCGGAGTGCATGGAGAAGGAGTATTGGTTCACAGAGGGATTGGCATTTGGAAAGAGAAAGTGGGTAGAAAGATTGGATCAACTCCACATCATCTCTGAGAAACGTTCAGTCCGGTGACACATGCAGGTCCCACAGAGGTCACAACTATCTTCCAAGGTTTAGTGTCCTACGATCCACTAACCGCTTCTCGCTCCTCAGATCTCCAGCAGACATTCACAAGAGCTGGCTGAGCACTTAAAAAAAGATTTGCATTTGCTAAACTTGGGCTGTCCACAATGATGGAGCATCAGGGACAATTCCCATCTTGGTCTGTTGATTACTGCCTTGGGATCACATATCCAATTGGGAAGGGGAAGCACTTCCAGGGAGCAATCCCCAAAAGGGCTGGTGAGTTGTCTGTGACTGATGCGGTGTTTGGCCAAGTGTTTCTGAAGCTCTTCAGCAGCAGTGCTGTGGAAGAGATGCTGGTGGTATGGGAGTGGTGAAGGCTTTGCGTCCTTGATACGTGAAGAGAATCTGGTTACTCGTGTGCTGGAAGAGTAGGCAGCAGTAGAGGGGCTGGCTTAGGCAGCTTGTGGTAGCATCCTTCCAGCAAATGGGGAAAAAAAGAAACAAGAGGAAGGGACTTTGAGAGGTCGTCTTCTCCATCCCCCTAAGGCTGTCAGGGTCAGTTCAATTCAGACCTGACTGCTTCCAGAGACCTCCTTGGCCTACTATGGGCTTCCACCACTGAGCTCCCTGGGCTGAGCCTGTGGGTCACAGAAGAGATCAGAGGTGATCTCCTGGATGGAGCTTGGGGTTTTCTGGGGACAAGCTGCAACCCACCCCACTTCTTGTGTCTCTGCCACTTAGTAAGCATCATCCCTCCATTTTCTCCCTTGACCCCAATGAAATTGCTTAGAACAACTGTCCTCCAAGTCCTGATTGTTCCCTTCTGTTCCCTTCCCCTCCCCTCCCCTGCGACAGGTACCTCTGCTCCCCAACTTGGCTCCCCATACGAAGATGAGAGCGCCCCAGTACTCGACCCTGAGCTTCAGTCTCCTCAAGAGCAGGCCCAGCCGCACAGATATGTCCCTGCAGGGCTCCATGCCCATGACCACGAGCAGCCCTGTGCACCCATATCAGATCCCTCCAGCAGCAGAGGACATGTGTGTCTAGGACGAGGAGGGAACGCGTCCCCAGCCCGACCCATCCCTCAGGACCTTGCTAGGCAGAGGAACGAGGAAATGGAGGATGACTCTGGGTCACCTGCCAGTGCCCATGAGGACACTGTGCCTATTCCCAGGAACGTCCATGATGCTTTGGTCTCCCTTCAGGAAGATTTTGGTGCCTGGGCCAGGTCAAATGTACAGCAGGCAGATGAGCTCCTGAAGGCAGGCAATCACCTCCTGCAAGCTCAGCAAAGGGCCAACAGGCACCTGCTGTCCATGGCACAGGGGGTCAAGGCCATGTCCTGCTCCCTAGACACTATTGCCTCTGCCATGAAGCCCTTGCTGCAGAGCTTGCTGCAGTCCAAGCGGCAGCCTGCCGCAGCCATGTCCAGCCTGCGAGAGTCCATGACCACAGACGTGGACTGGCCATCGCTGCCCTCCAATATACTGGAGTTATTCCTTCCTAGCACCTCACAGCACAGTGAGTCGCTGATCCCAACAGCTGCCATGGCCTCTTCTCCTAGCAGACATCCTCCTTCCTGTCCTCCCAATGCTGCTGACCCCTTGGCCAGCCCAGTGCACTCTGTGTCCCCCAGCACAGCTTCAGCTGAGACCTTGGAGGGTGAATGCCCCCAGTCAGGGCACTCCACCAGAGGCAAGCGTAGCTCGAAGTCTACCACCAGCCTTCGGAAAAGGAAGAAGTGAAGCTCCCTTTGCTGCTGTTCCAGGGTGTCCAGATGACCAGAGGTGGTTGCTCATGGGCCTGTATTACATATCTTGAATGAGGGAGGCTGGTCTCGGGAGGCCAAACACAGGATTTAACTCCCAGCTGCCCTGTTACTGATGTCCATCATGGCCTTAGGCATGTCCCTTCACTTCTCTGCGCTTTGAGCTACCATTCTCCCCAGCTTACTCTGCTGACCTGAAAGGAGGCTCCATCCACCCCATTTCTATAGGCAAGGGCTCTGATGGGAAGCAGCAGGATCTAGAAGAGAGGTCTCAATGGAGAGCACAGTGGGGGATCCTGTCTGTGACCCTGGGAAAGAGATGGGAGTGAATGTCTTGTGCAGTGAGGAGCCTGCCACTGAGTCTGCGGTGCTCTGCAAGGACAGCCAGACACAGACCAGGCCCTCTCACCCCTACGTGGTTTGCAATGGACTGCAGCTGCTTTGAAAACCCGTTAAAGGTCCTGATAGGGACCTGGCGCTCCACCTTACCTGTGCAAACTTTACTATGCCAATAAAGTCCTCTTGGACTGGAGAGTGAATGTGTCTTTTGCTGTGTCAGGGCCTGGAAAGGGCCTTCCTGGGGTGGGGTGTCCAGGGAACGTGGTTGGGGTGAGAGATTCCCAAATTGTACTCCGCGCCCCATGAAGGGCTGAAACAGGTATGCAGCAGCAGTGCCAAACTCTGAGCACTGCTTCTTGCCTGTACACATGGTGCGGTGGCCAGCAGCCCCAGAGCTACCTGTGAGGGAGCCTAGGCAGGGCTCCCTGGAGGCATAAGATGGGTTTGGTAGTGTGGTACTGTCCCACCTAATGAGTCCTAACTCATGATTACGTGCATGATGCTACTAATTTTGTTTTCCTTGCCAGTATTGTGTGCCTTCCCCAATCAGCTTATGGGCCTGAGAAGGTCAGGAAGGTGGTTCTGTAAGCTGCAAGCCCAGATGAGAGAGCTTTATGAAAGGAGTCTTTAGTACAAGGATGGGAGAGGGAACTGGTAGATCCCAGGATGTGTTCCTGCATGAGTGTGCCACAAGATTCAGTGTGGCAAGCCCATGTGAGCAAACGGCCTGATTGTGGGAGGTTCATGAGGCAAGTGTGAGAGAAATTAGGAGAGAAATTTGGAGAAAAGAAGATCTAAGCATAATAAAAATGTGGTTCCCGTGGCTCCAGAGGTATTTCTTGAGGATCTGACACATTTCTCATTAATGGATCCTTGCCAAGATAGTACTTAGCTGAAAGCAGTGGGATGCAGAGCTGCAAGGAGTAGCAGCTCTCTGATCTAGCCTGGTGAGCTGCGCACTGAAATATTCACATGGCCGAGTGCCATGCCACATGGGCGCCCTCGCTTCCTCGGAGAGCAGAGGATGAGTGCTGACGGGAAGTGGGCAGGCCAGCGGCTAGGTCCTAGCGCGATCGCTTGATTTTAGCCTCAGCAGTGTCTGCAAGCGGGGCTTTGGGTTACCTGCTGTGACCACACAGCCCTGCAGCTGGTGATGTGACATAACCCTGGCACAGGAGCCACATTCACACGGTCTGCGAGTTGGCCATCGCTGCTCTGTGTGTGTGCACGCTGGCGTGCCGGAGCCCCGCTTCACCCCGTGCCTATCTGTCTGATTCTGCTTGTGTCAGCTCATGCCGCGTAAGGCTGTGCCTCAGTTTCCTGATGTGTGAATACTAGCATCTTCTGTGGAGCGCTTTTTTGTCAGCTCATTCAAAGCACTGTAGCAAGGGTGGCACTTGGTACTCTCAGATGTCTCTAATGCTGCTCTCCCTCTTCTTGACTCTGTATTGCTGTTGTTTCAGAAACTGCCTCTGCTCAAGCCACAGAAAACTCCCATCAGGTGAGACTTGGTTTCTACTTGTTTTTCTCTGGGAATTTTGTGTTGCAGGATTATCTGGCAAGAATTCAGGGCTAGCTTCCAGCCCTGGCAAGCACGAGTTCCTTTATTTAATGGTGGCGGTGGTGG